CTGCTGAATTCTCTGCAAACTACACTGTTGAGTGGGTGGTGGCTGAAGCAATGGTATCTTGTGGCATTGGCAGGTCTTCTAGGGAAAGGAAGGCATAGCTTCAAGTCACACATTCGGGGAGCCAGTCACTTTCAGACCAGGCCTAGGCACTTCCTTTGAAGGTCAAATATCTTGCTATACTCTCATTTACGACATTCACAGCTGATGGCATCCACCCACATCATGTTGGCTTCTTCGAGTCCCGCTTTAAGGTAACAAACTCCACAAACACCCTACATGGAAGCAGTGGCTAAATCAGAACTGAGGAATATTTTAGTTGGCTAGACACCTAAAAGGTGTTACTGGCATTGCTTTATAGATTTAATCTTTTGTTTCATCAACAAATACAAGTTCAGAAAGGGTAGAGTATGAAATACCTGGAAGGGGTAGAACAAATATTGAGGTTAATTATATCCCCAGAGTTTACATGTATGCCAGTAAATAAAGTGCTCCAAGGTCTGTTCACTAGCCATGGGGTCAACTGGCTCATCACAGCTCATATCCATGTTGCTTAACTCTGATCCTGCAAGACATCTGGGCTGCTTACCGGAAATATCCCCTGGTGTGTGCTAACTCCAAAAACATGCTTAGCACTTGTTTGGAAGAATCATAGCTGGTATGAGTGATACCTGTGTCTGAAACTGTACTACAAATGTAAGAATATGAGTGACTGTGGGCTGATGGCCAGGCCTGTGCCCCAGCACCGCTCAATGTACTAGTACGAACAGAGCCAGAGTGACCGACTGAGGGGTGGGAAACTGTCCCTCTGTCATTCAGCCCTGTAAGCTCCCCGTCTGATGGCGATCTGCCTTTTTTGAATGACACGAAGTTCCAGGTCATGCTGATGGGCCTTCACCAGCTACTTCTCAAAAATGAGGGAACTAGAGACCTTTTGCCCTGCTGTGGAATAAGATTAGGCTGCTTAGGAAACACCCTTCAAAACTACTGCCACGTCACAAACTGTGAGACTCCCATGGACGTGTTTTGGTTGTTTCTTCTAATCAGTCCTGTGCATTTGCTGTCACAGTAACTGTGCATGCTTATTTACAAAAGGCTGCTCCTCGTTAAGGATTTCTGCCGGTCCTCAGATGGTACAGCAAGGCTTTGATGATGCGGATACCTGAAACACTTCACAGCTGAGCACACAGGAACTATCACGAAGTGTAAAATATGTAAGTTTAATTCTATTACATTGTAATATAAATAAAATTAAATACAGTTTAAAATGTGATACAACTTACTGTGGAGGCATAGCCACTGTCCATTGTCCATGTCCTGCCTCCCTCCTTAAAAATATTGAAACAAAGAAAGAGTTTTGTTATGAACTGGAAAGTCTGTCACTGGTTCAGGGACCTGGCGGTTTTTTGATGGTTGTGCAAGCTGCTTGCTAGATGCTGCCCTGATGGCAAACTGGAATGAGCTGGCAAGAAAAAGGCTGTAGGAGAGTGTCCCTTGGCAGCTGGATCCCTCCATTGTGAAAGACCTAGCACCCAAGGCCAATGTTGTGCAGCTCTCCTTCCAATGACTGCACAGAGGCAGGCAGAGATGGAGGTGATGAAGTGTACAGCTCCCCGCTCCTCGAATCTGACCGTGATGTTAAATAAAACAGACCATGACTGCGCTAATATCACTGCGAAACTAGTGCTAAATCAGAGAGATGTAACAGATCCCCCATGATCAATGCATTATCATAGGCATTGCCAGACCAAAGGGAAACTCATATTTTTTGACTGCTAAAAATTTTTAGAAATGGTTTTACTGACAGATCAGAAAGACAAATGTTGCTATAATGTGATAAAGTAATAACGATAGAAGTTCTCAAAGGGCCAGATGGATGAATTTAGGAGTTGTTTCTGGCATGGTACCCAGATATGAAATCTATTTACAATTAGGTCAAGAAGCCTTGAATTAGCTTTACTTTTTCTTTACCCATGACTGCATGCAATGCTCCTTTGCTGCATTTGAGCCTGTTGTCCCTGGCTGTCAACAGTTCAGTGGCCACAAGCAGAATAAGAAAATTGGGCAACGCAGGAGCAGCATCCCCATGAGGGAGATCCTCTTGGGTCCTGTCAGTGGATAGTCCCCAGCAACACAGACTTTGCCTTCCAGTTTTACAGGCAAGTGACTGTCCAAGACCTGGCAAGAGCATTTTATTCTCCCTCATCAGCATCTCTTCTGCCTTTGCCCTGCTGGCCCTGGGCTCCAGAGCCACCAGCCAGGCTCAGGTGCTGGAAGGGCTGGCCTTTAACCTCACTGACACTCAGGAGGACCTACCACTTTCCTTTACTGTCACAGAATCACAGAATCACAGAATGGCAAGGGTTGGAAGGGACCTCGGGAGATCGTATGTCCTGTCATTTATTTTAATGCTGGGAGTTATACATGCCATCTCTAAATTCTTGTACTATTATACTTAATTAATGTTTTTGGTCTGTAGTCTTAACTACTTGAGTTTGATGTATCTTTTAGAAAAAGAAATTCAAGCTACGATTCAATTTGAGAGCAAGATTTTTGTCTTGCATTCTATCTATTATTTTTTCCTCTTTTTTATTCCATTGATTTTTAAAAAACTTATGACAACTAGTTTTGAAGAGCTTTGGCGGTGTCAAGCAGGTCTACAATTCCAATGTCTTCATCTGGGAGCTTTATGGAAAATATATCAGTAAAACCTGAGATGAGCTCTCAGCAAGAGATTGCCTATCTTGAACCTTAAAATGCTGGCTGATTGACTCCAATGGAATTCAGATCAGCCCTTAAATGCTTGTGTGCTCTTGGAAATGCATTTTCTTTCAGTGCTAGGAGATTAGGTACAGACAAAGCAGAAAACTTAGAATATTGTTCTCTGCAAACCGATGAAAGTGATCATCCGAGATGAAATGTCCGTTATGAGAAATGGAATCACACCCTGGTAATAAAATAACTTTTTATTTCCTTCTGAGACATAACACAGAAGAAAATGATAAGATTATTTGATTCTCTCTATACAGCTTTCTTCTAGCAAACTATGAGTTCATATGAAATTTTGGTTCAGAGATTCCTATTGCACTGGTGAAAGCAGCTGAAAGCAAAGCAGAAAAGGTCTAGTTTCTGTTCCCAGTTCTGTCACAGACTTTTTGCTTAGACTTCAGCTTCTTTGTTTCTGGCAGACTTGCTGTTTTTTCAAATGGAGCCAGAAGAAATTTTCTTATCCAAGGAGGAAAGGATGAATATTTGTAAGAAATAGGGATGATAGTCAGGAATG